TATTCTTAAGCTTTCTAATGTGAATCTTGTTTTTGTTCTTTTCTCTACAGCAAGTATTCTTGCGTTCGCCAAATCGGCTGTATGGCCACTGGTATTAATATGCTGCGCTAGCGCTGTGCTGTTTCTTTGTTTTTTTTTTTTTATGTCTGCTTCGTGTTCGCTTAGACGAGTACCCAGAGCTCGCTTGGTTGTTCCGATGTACACTTTGTCGCAGTTTTCGGCTTCTTTACCATTGCACTTTATTTCATAAACCACATTGTTTTGTTGTTTGAATTCTATAGGGGATTTTGTTTTTGTAAATATTGTGGATAAAGTGCAATTGGATTTGTATGCTAGCGTTATGTTCTGTTGTTTAGCAATGTGTTGGTTTAAGTTTTCGGACAACTGCGGAATGTAAGTAACACTGAAATATAGATTTGTGGTGTTTGTTGTTACTTTATTCGACGTTTTATTAAGGTAGCCCTTTATTTCTGTAGTTTTTTGTTTTATTAAGTCGCGTGTTAACTTTTCTGGGTAGCTATTACTTTTTAGGATCTTTTTGAGTTTTTGTATGTTTATGTCGTGAAATTTCCTGCCACTAATGTGAGTACTTTGTGTATTAAATTTTTAGAAGTATTGATTTTGTATTTTGTAGGTTGTGAAGATAACAAATTAATCAGACGACCCGAAGACGACGGTTTTGAGTACCAGTCCAGTAGGAGATTATTTCTTTCCCTGTAGATGTGAACGTCAAGAAAGAGGATGCTGGCCTTATATTCCATTTCCATGGTGAATTGGAGTTTGTGGTGGTATTTGTTAAGGGTTTTTAAGATTATATTCACGTCTTTTCGTTTAACTATAGCAAAGATATCGTCTACATATTTGGATATAAATTTAATATCGATGTTTGAGTGTTTTAGCTCCGAAATGGTATTGTCAAGTAATTCTTCCATGACAATATCAGAAATAGTGGGAGAAAGGGTTGCCCATTGGCATTCCGAAGGTTTGAGAATAGAATTTATTGTTACAGACGAAGTAATTGTTGTCCTTGAGACATAAGTCTTGAATACTTAGGAACTTGTTCTTAGGAATCATCGTCATATTTTCTATTTTTGCCTATTTTCTCATAATTATTCTTGAAGCTAAGGCTGTTGGTATATTTGTAAACAGAGATACGACATCAAACGAAACAAGTGCATCTTCTTCACATACATTTACATCGGACAGCTTATTTTTTAATTCAAAAGAATTTTTTATATTGTAGTCTTCGGAGATGAGTGGCTTTAGGATTTCTCCAACATATTTAGACAAGTTTGAACATGGGACTTTACAGGACGAGGCAATAGGACGTAGAGGGATTTCTGGCTTATGGATTTTTGGCAACCCATAAAGTCTGGGAGCCGTTGCTGCAATGCTGGTAAGATGTTGCTTTTCTTTTGCGTTTATGTATTTGCATTTGTATAAGTCATCCACTATGTTGTTATTTTTTCTTTGCAAAGTATTTGTGGGATCTGCTCGTATTGTTTTGTACGTGTTCTTCTCTCCTAGTAGGTTTTCTATTTTTTCTACGTATTCTGTTTTGTACATTGCCACTGTTTTATTCCCCTTGTCTGCCTCTGTTATGATGATGTTGTTAGTGTGTGCTTGGAGGAATGTTTTTGTTTTTTTTGTATGCTTCTAAAATGAACTTTTCGGCTACATTATTTTTTATATTGCGTTTGAATTGTAAAATTATATTGCTTAGTTTATTTCTCGCTAATTCTTTTTCTCTATCATTACTTATCGTCTAAATCACTTGCTCCATTTCTGCAATCGTGTGAACTGCCGAGAAGTTGGATTTTGTTGTTGGCAGCGTGAATTTCTTTCCTAATGAGAGGAGCCACTTCACCTCCTGGGGAAAGACGATGCTGGTTTTGTTTACGAATCAGTTTTCGTTGATGTTTTTGCCCAGTTTTCGTATTTTTTCCTGTTTTATTTTCTCAATTTTAGAGGTGAGAGTTGATTCTTTCTCCTTCGCGATCTTATGACATAAAAGGTTTTGTTTTTGTATGAACTTGATAAACTCCGATTCACTTAGTGTGCGCTTTAGTTTAGATTTCTGTGTGGTGCAAATTATTTTTTGCTGCTCTAATATTCATGTTTGCTTGTGTTGTTTCTAAATATGTTCAGCATTTTTAGGAGGAAGATTAGTTTGGTTTTTTCTATTTTCTGTTTTATATTTTGGGATGTGCTATTTATTGTTTTAACCGAGTTTGGCTTTGGCGTTGGCGTTGGTTTGACAGAACGCACGTTAAAAGTATGCTTGCTACAATGAACGCTTGGCAGCGAATGCTTGGGCCACTAAATTAACATACTAACGATAGATAAATTAATATTTCATATCAAGAATTGCATTAAAAACGATATTTCTTGCCCGCACTTGATTAAAAAGGAAAAATATTTCACATAATTTTATTTATTTGCAACAGCTGACGAGCGACGCACGCGAAAGGTTGAGAGTTGGCTATCTTTTTGCTTTGTGTTGGCGTGAGCGTTGTCGAATTTTGGCTATGTGGACGGCTGCATTTGAATGCATGTATTCATAGTCAGCTGTTGAAGTGACGTCAACGCCAACGCAACGCCAAAGTTCTATGTGGACGGGCCTTAAGAGTGGCACCTTTCTGAAATCTTTATTAAATGAACAATTTTTTTTCGTAATGTAAAGTTATAGCTCAGTACATTTTTTTTCACCAGAGATAGTCAAAGTTGGGGAAGAAAATATCAAAAAGTTAAAAATCC